GGGGGAAGAATTTGAGAGGGCATGAAAACCGTCTGAGAATGGACTCTCTCCAGAGCTCGGACAAAAGTTGAAGTGCGGAAACGACTTTGATCGTGGCGTATAAAGCAGCCACTGTGGTAATTTGAGTTACATTTGGTTTCTGAAAGCGGCAGCAATGAAGGAAGGGAGTGAAGTGATACAAGGGGCTGGCCTCCTTGGATGCCCATGTCCTCCATGAACAAAAAAGCCATCGGGGATATAGCCACATATGCGCTGTGTATTGCTCTGTATTCAGAATTTCAGAGGCACGATTCCTGGAAGCCGTCCCATTTACCCAAGAATCCTCGGCACAAATCAGCCGGCATCTTGCCCGAAGGAAAGTCAGCTTCATCCCAAAAAAATCCAGCATAGAGTTAAATGAAGTGTGGGCAACCCATATCTCATCAGCATAAAAGTTTAATAAAAATATGGTCAGACCGTCAGATGTTGCTGAAAAATGTGTGCGCATTGTATGACAATGGTCCACGTCCTCCGTGAACAAAAAAGCCATCGGGGATATGGCCGCATATGTGCTGGTAAAGTGCCAGTTGCTTGTAGTTGAAAACAGGCCGGTCCGTATTGAGAGGCATGAAAGCAGCTGCGCGATGCCTGGAAGCCGTCCCATCTACCCAATTCTGCAAATCTGATCCAACCCATCATTCACATACCACCCACAAGGACAATCACCGAAAGCAAAATAATCAGTGCGAGGGGTTGTGTGTGCGATGTCATGGCCGCCATACCGAACTCCACAAAAGATGCATGACTGTAGAAGAAGATGCCAAGGTGACTGTTTGGTCGGACTTTCACAAACTCATCATCAGGAGGGTGGGTGGGTGTGCTTCGCGTCATAAACGGGCACCAGAACAACCAGTTACCTTATAATCCTTACCAAGTAACAAGAGGATGTCCGCCGCGACTGCAGCGGGGACCAAGAGCAGGGGAACCGAAAAAAACAAACAAAAAACACACACACACATTGCAATGAATCTTCTTCCCATGTTGTAGTGGGAGATTCATTCCGATTTTGTTCATCCTATCGATGGAAGTAGCCTCTCTCTATCTCTCTGCGCTCATGGCTGGAAAGCAGTGTATATTTCCATATTCTACTGGAAGATTCATTCTCTCTCTCTCTCTCTCTCTCTCTCTCTCTCTCTCTCTCTCTCTCTCTCTCTCTCGCACACACACACACACACCCGCGATGTTCTCACG